GCCATCACCCAGGGAAAGTCCCTCACTGAGCAAGACCCTGGCTCCAGGGGTGACAGTAGCCTGGGAGAGGGGAAATCAGGCTAAAGGAGGCAAGGAATTGCCTGAGTCTTGATCTTGCCACTACCCTAATCCACTGTTACTAAGGCCAGTTACTCTGCCTCACTCTGCCTCAGTTTCCTGATCTGTAAAACAGCATCTGGTTGTGGGCAGGATAAAATTGGTTAATATACATAAAAGTAGTTGGGTATGGTGGTGCACACCTGTAATCCTAGTAAGTTGGGAGGCTGATATAGGAGGATCTCAAGTTTGAGGTCAGCCTGGTTAACTCAGTGAGACCCTGTCTCAAATAAAATGTAAAAGGGCTGAGGATGTAGCTCAGTGGTAGAAGACCCCTGGGTTTAGTCCCAGAACTGTAAAAATGCATGTGTGTATGTATATGCATATCTATATACACACAGACATGAAGATGCCTACAACACTATATGCATGTTTGCCGACAGAGTACTCACTAATGTAAGTACTAAACTCTTTCAGGCTCAGTGTCTTCCTCTTTGATTCTCCTCTTAAGCATTGATAGCCTCCAGTACCTGGTAGATTCTCAGAAAAAGCTTCCCTCTCTCCTTCCCTTTCCCCAGACTAGAAGTCTACTTGTCCTGATACTTCCTGCCCCTGCCCAGGCTTCGTGTGATCCTGGCCTGATCTCTGGGCCCTTAATTCTGTGTCATCATGTGCAAAAACAGCTTCTGAGTCAAGTGGTGTCTAAGTGTTCATGGCTGTATTTGCCATAGGGAGCCTCTCCCCAATCCCTCATCCCTCCTTTCTTTCCCATTTCTAACTGATACCCTACTGCATCGCCCCCTGGTTCACAGAACCCTTGAAAACCTAAAACAGGGTGGAAAGAACCCTTGAAAACCTAAAACAGGGTGGGCAAGAAGCACCAGCCTTCAAGCAGCTCAGAACCCAGTCCAGGCCCCCAAGGGTTAAGACCCAGAGAGAGGGGCGGGGGCCAGGGTCAGTACTGGAAGCTGGACAGACGGGCCTGGAGCCCAGGGCCTGCCTCCCCTCCCCCTCCCCTGGGAACACAGGCCACTTGTTTGGGCATTGGCGGCTGCTTTGAGCTTAGCCAAGGGAGAGTGGAGTGGGAAGGGGAGAGGCCCAGGAGGGTGATGGGGACTCCCCTCCCTCTAGCCAGTGCCCTAGGCCTGGTCCACCACTGGCCCCAGTACTCTGCAGCCCTCCTGAACTGACCACTTTTCCTGGGTTCCTTCTTTCCTTCACTCAAATGCTCAATTCTGGGGGCAGGATTTATTTTCAGATAGACCATATTTTTGCCCCAGCACAGCCTCTCTTTGGGACATGAAGCCAGGGATTACCACCCCATCCTGCAGATGGGGAAATGAAGGATCTGAGAAGTATGGGGTCTTGCCAGACAGTGCTTGGTGGTGCCCTGGGACTTCAGGTCCCAAGTCCCAGTTAGTCCCATGGCGATGCAGTACCTTATTCCACAGAACTCCAGGAAGACCCTTCCTAACTTGTGCTATTAGAGAGGACTGAAAGACTGGGCTGGAAAGAGTGAACAGCCCATTTCTGAAACCTAAAGTCCCAAATAACCTGGGATATGGATAGAGAGAAAACTTCTGGAGGGTGTGGGGAGGACATGCAATCTGCACAAAAGACTGATTCTTGATGTGTGGAGAAAAATAACTAGAGCCCAGATGGTGAAAGGTAAGGCTGGGACTGAGGGAGGAAACTGAATGCCCAAAAAAAGCCTGGGGGCAATGAGGGACATTGGACCTCTGCCCTCCTCTACCACACACACTATAGTTGTCAGTACTCTGCCTGGGACACCTCCCTCCTATTCTACTCCAGTAAGCAAATGGCCAATGGGGAGGCAGGGTCCCTAGGTTAGGGTCTAGACAATCCCCAGTGACCCATGGAATATAAGGATGAGTTCTCTGTACACCTCTCCCCTGTCACCCTTGCAACCACACCCATCTCCATGCCATTTTTCAAACACACTATCCAGGTTCCTGCCTCTGCACAGCTATGCCCTCACCTGAAGGCCCGTTGACCTCACTAATTGCCACTGACCTGCCAAGGCCCATTCCAATCATCTCCTCCTCTTTGGGCCTGTACCTGTCCATACCTGTCTTCATGGCTCCACTGGATTCCTTCTACTCTATAATGATCTTGCTGGGAGGTCTCCCGGAGCTTGACTGCTCTTGGCTCTTGAAGGACAGGTATCATAAGTGCCTCAGTCTGGGACCCTGAGACTGCAGGCATTCAAATACTTTCCTAAACATCCCTCCCATGCCCCCCCCCACAGTGTGGCTCCCCCAGAGAAGGCTCCCTAGGACATGAGATTTGGGTGAGTGCATGTAGTAGAAGCCATCTCTGATGGCTCCTGATTAGAGTTCCCCAGCACCAAAAACTACTCCTGGAGACCTGGGACTAATTACCCACCCTGTGTCCCCAGGTCGTATTCCAAGCCTGTGCTCTACAGGCCCAACCACCTACTTCCGGCTTGACCCCATTCAGTGAACACAGCCCTCCTTTTTCCAACAATTGGGCCAGGTAAGCTCTTGGGAGGCCATGCCCCCATTTACTGGCCGAGAATTAAGGTGCAGACACCGGAAGTAGCCTGCCCCAGGTCTAAGGCCCTGGGTCAAACGGTTCTGCAGAAAGGTTAAGGGTCTCAGCAGCCAACTGGGTGGGAGCTTTCATTTTACAGATAAGAAAATCAAGACTCCCCAGGGCGAGCTGGCTCCGGAGCCTGGGAGCCTTCATGCTGAGGGGCTGAGGGCTGGAAGCTCGGTGTCTGCCCGCTCTGACCCAACAGTTCATCCTTAGCAGCGACCCCCACCCCATCCCACTCCGGGCCAAAAGCAAAGCAGAAGAGATAACCCCGGGAAGTGGGAGCCCAGCGCTGGGTAGCCGCGCGGCCTCGGCGTTCCCTTCCGAGGTATGGGAAACTGCAGACACACCAGGAGAGGGGACTGCGGACCGGGGGCCAAGGAAGCCAGAAGCACTGACCTGTGAAGTGTCCACGCGGGGGACCTGAAGTCGCGGGGCCGCTACTGACTCCAGCTGCCACCGCCAACTCGCGGCAGCGGGCCGGTCGCGCCCACCCCGCGGGGCGCTTCCGCCCGCCCCACGTGACGCCCCGGGGAGGGGGGAGCGGAGAAGGGGCAGGGACCCGGCCCCGCCCCGCCCCCAGCCTAGTAGCGATCCTTGAGTCGGCGGGGTTGGCCCGCCTGCCAGACCCTGCTGGCAAGTCCTCGGGTCTCCTAAGGCCAAGTCTGCCTCCCCCCCACCCCCAGGCAGCCGAGTCTCCGTCTCTCCCGGAGTCTCCCTGCCTCACCACCCCTGTTCCCGTGAGTCAGCGCCCTGGGAAGGGACACGGACATACAAACGCACCACACGTGAAGGAGATTGAGGGGGGTGGGGGTTGGAGGATGGAGGACTGTGGTCCCTGGACGCCTCCTCCGGGAGTTCTTCCCACATTCTTTAAGAGTATCCCTCCTCTCTCCCTGGACCCTGGACCCACATCCCCCTGGGTAGTGGGAAAGAAGGAGTCCTGTCACAGGATCACTGAGCTGTATCCTGCAGCCTGAGGTACCAGCACCTAAGGCTCCTTCAATGAACTTAAAATGGAAATTCTTCCTCTCCTTCCAGTACATACAAAGAGGAGGACCCAGGGCTTGGCAGGCACTTCTAGGTCCAGCTAAGTCACAGACATTAATTTCTCTGGGTTTCATTGTGTATTTTCCATATACACAGTGGGGATATTTGGAAGAACAGCTGTCACTAGGATGGGTGTAGGGATTTACCATAAGAAAGAAATGCCCTTAATTTGAATACCTACTATATGCCAGGCATAGTGCTGGGCAATTTACTCCTTTTATCTCAATTCTCATACTTGCTTGAAGGCAAAGATTGTCACCACAGTTTATGAATTAGGAAATGAAGCTCCAAGAAGTTCCCATGCTTTCCCCAAGTTACAGAACCAGTATTGAGCAAAGCTGGGATTGGAACCCTTCAAGGTAAGTGACAGAATTTCCTGCCCACCCTCATTAGCCATCTATCTGCCTTTCCCCTCAGAAGGACCTGACTCAGTAGATTATGTCTTCCACTGGCAGCGCTAAGGCAAGCAACTTTCTGGAAGGAGAAAAAGAAAAAGAAAAAAAAAAAGCCAGACCTTGGGGAGAAATTTTAAGCCCCAAGTTTGCATAGGACCTAAATTACTGGAAAGGAGCAGAACACAGGGGTATGACCTCGGGCAACAGGGAGGCCACAAAGAACAGATAAAGCCTAGGCCTACCACTAGATCTAAGAGTAGTCAGATGAAGAAAAGGGCAAGGAGGCTGGCATCTGGCCACTAGAAAGGGGATGGAGGCCTGAGGCCCCACCATTTTTGTTAACAGAGTCCAGAAACCTTCAGAAAAAACTAAGAAGGGTGCAACAATAGAGCCTGTCCCTTCCACTGCAGTAGAGTCAATGACCCTCACCTGCACTCCTGAACTCCCTCCTCTATGATATACTGCCCCAGCCTCAGCTCTGAGACCCATAGCTCTGTGGCCTGAGACCTACAGATCCATCCCCTTCCCTTCTGTGATGACAGGAGATCATCAGATATCCATTCCATAGGTTGAGCCTAAAGGGCCTTGAAACAGAGGTCACATTGTAGAACCCCACTCTCCAACCCATGATGAGAGGCCTATAGTCAGGCCTGCTCCCTCCCTTAGATCAGTTGAGGGCAACCAGATAGCCTGGAACAAATGGCAAAGTGAACATGCAACAAGGATAGGTAGATGTATGAGTGAAAATGGACAGAACAAGGGGGCAATAATTGCCCCAGCTACATATGGGCAAATAAGATGCCCAAAGGATCAAAGGCCAGGCAAACAATAATATCATTAACAAAATTAACTGAAGAACCAGGGAACCAGGGCAGTGACAGTGCTGGGGCAGGTGGGAAGTAGGCACAGTGAAGAGCCAGCTGAGGCTGTGGGATCGTTTATTGGGGCTGTGTCCAGACAGGCTGTAATGCCGCCTGGGCGCAGCCCAAGGCCCCCAGGAGGCAGGGTGAGAGACAGGAGGAAGTGCAGGAGGATCCATGCCCCAGGGCTCAGCCCCAGTCCGGTCTCAGTCCATGCAGCAGTGCTGCACTCAGGTGAGCGAGGTATCATCATCACTGCCCTCGCCACCTGCACCACCCACTCGCTCCTCCCTGCTCTCTGCCACTGCGCTCTCATCGATGTTCTCCAGTGAGTCTGCGTGCTGCACTGACAGCTCCGACAGTGCCAGGCTGGGCAATGGGCTCTGCTCTGGGTGCAGCCATGGCTTGAAGTGTGGCTGATGCTTCTGCTTCCACTCAGGGTACTTGACACATGCCTTGTACATCTTCTTCATGGCCTGCAGACACAATACCCGAGAGTCAGGGGTGCCAGCAGGACTAGGAATTTCCCATACCCCTCCCAGCACCACCAGTTTCCCAACTCTTGTGGGGTTTATAACTTGGTCCCTTATCCCCTGACCCCTGCCCCAGTGTCCATCCCTGTTTCCACCCCCTCACCCTAACATCCCCAATGTCCTCTCCCCCAGCCTCCAGACCCTTGAAGTCCCAAGGCCACTCACCTTGGGAGCCAGGAACTGAGAAGATTTATTCACTACCCACTTGGGTAAGGAGCCTAAGAGGGCAGGGAAATGTGGTGAGAAGGGAGGAAGCAGCCTCAGGCACCCAGCCCCCCTCAATTCCCAGCCCCTTCCCTCAGCTTAGCATTCCTGGAAGGCCTCCCTTTACTCCACAGGAAGGGATGAGTGAGGCAATCCTACAAGACGTCTTCCTGATTCCTTCCCCCGTCATTCCTCAAGGTCCTGGGGTCAACTCTGCCCCCACTGTTGCCCCCACTGTCCCTTTGCTGAGCTCCAAGAATGCATGGAAGAAAACCACAGGGTCCTAGGTAACCCCAGGCTACTTGTGGGTTGAATTTCTGACCCACCAAGCTCCAGCCTGCCTCCTTCCTCCTTTCACACTGATGTCCCTTCTCATTCTTAAACTCACTACCATAACTGGGTCTTGATGCTCAGCCCCTCCTCTGGCTGTCCTTCCATCCCCTGTTCTAACTATGCAGGCATCTTATTGAACACCCCAGCCTGGCTTGACCTGGAATTTACAGCTCAGCTCTCCAACTACCTCATTGCCAAGAATCTGCTCTGCCTCTGACAGCCAATACACTCAGTGAGACCTGGGAACCCTGCACTAGAACCACTATGACTCTGGGGACTTGAACCTAGCAAGGATGTTCAAGATTTAACCATCCTTTAGTCATTCATTCAGTCACCCACTCACTCCACATTCACTGTGATACCTACCCTCAACCAGCCTTGGAGATCCAAAGAGGAACTCACTGTCTGGGGGCTCAACCATGTGCCAGGTATTCTAAAGGGAAGTGGGCCAGAGTAGGGAGCAGGTACTCCCCTGAGCATTAGTGACAGAAGAGGTGACACCTGAAGCAGGCTTGGAGGGCTAAGTAAGGGAAGAGAGGTATATTGGAAGGAAAAGTCAGGGGAGTGGAAAAGTGTATTGGCATGTAGGGATTAAGAAACCTGGGGAGGGGGTTCAGACTATATCCTGAGACATCAGAGAGTCAGAGAAGCATTTTAAACAGATGCAGTCATAACAAAATAAGCATTTTAGAAAACTTCCTCCAGTAACTGGTACGGACAGATAGGACAGCTGAATATGCAAAAAAATGGCAGATTCAGGAGCTATGTCTGAGGCAGAATCATTAAGAATCAGGAACTGGATTTGAAAGCTGAGGCTCCAGCTGACCAGGTGGGGTGACTGGAAGGCAGAGACTTAGGAGAAGGAGAGGTGGAGAGGGGTGATGGTGAGCTTAGCTTTGGATGCTGAATCTCAGGTACCAAGAAGACCTCCTGAGGGAGAATGTGCAGGAAATCAGTGGCCACGGGGACCTGTATCTCAGCAGAAAGAGATGTGTGGTCAACTTCAAAAGCAGCCTCAGGAGTGGCTGAGCGCTCCCAAGAAAAGGCAGGCCTAGAAAACCCAGGCTTCCTGAATAGACAGAGGATGGGAGCCCAAAAGACAGAGCTGGAACAGATAGTGAACAGAAACAGATCTGAGCTGGAAATCTGAGGGCCCAGGAAGAAAGTTCCAAGTCTCCTCAGAGAAGCAGCAGCTACCACCTTGGCCCATTCTTTTCATTCCATTGACTTTGGGTAGAGATGCCCAAGTACAAGACATCCCCTAACAAATGTCCTCTGAATCCCTAATAGATCAAGCCCATCCCGTGTAGTATAGGGAAGGATCCCATGACAGGCTGCCAGGGCCAAGCCCTCACCTTTGGGGTCCACCTGGGCCAGGTAGGTGATGACGCAGCTCTTGGGCCCAGTGCTCTGGATGAGGTAGCCCGTCTGGATGGACACAGCTCGGACCAAGTCTTTTCGAGGTGGGTATTTCTGGGGATGGAAGGTACAGGGAGGTGAGACTCAACATGGGGGCAGAAGAGATGTCTTTGAGATACACACACACACACAGTTAGTTCACATCCTCTGGTGTCTGTGCCAAGCCAGACCTGATGCTGGGGCAAGGAGAAAGGTAAGAATCAGATCAGATCATCCTTGCCCTTCTTAAGGCTTTCCTTGTTCCCATAGGAAATCTCCCAGCCTGGGGTCAAGGCTCATGAGTTCACATAGACACTCAACCCTTGTCCAGGCCAACCATACCTGCCTATTCTTCCTTACCAGGGTGATTAAAATGGCCCCACCTCAGGAAGGTCCACAGGACACTGCCACTCACATCTTGCTTCTCTATTTTCAGTCCAGCTTCACCCAGTGCTCAATCAAACCAAGGCCACCCCAAACCATCCCCTCTCCACAGAAATGGCCCATACTACCCTCTTCTGATGTACTTGAGTGCCCAAGCAGGGAGACAGAAGTCATTATCCTATCAGAAAGGAAACTGAGGGCCACAGAGCCCCCTGCCTGCCCAAAGTCACAGAGAAGTCATGGTGTCAGCCATGGCCCAGCCTTGCCTGGCACCTTGCCTCACCCACCCAGCAAGGAAGGCAGATGGACTCACAGGATGTTTGACTGAGTAGTTCATGATGATGTAATCAGTGCCCATGGGGAGCCAGGAGCGGAGGGTGATGACATCACGGTTCTTCAGAGGCTTGGGACACCTCCCTGTGGAGGGCAAGGGACAGTTCAGCCAGACCATTGGTCTTCCTGCCTGCAAGTGAGGGTGGCAGAGGCTGGCAACGGAGGGATGCCTAGTTAACTGCCAGCTCCCGCTGATCCAAACAGTTACCCACCCGCACCAGGACACTCCCACACTGGAACCAGAGAAGAGACAGACAGAGAATAACCCTTGTCCCTACTGTCTAGCTATTCCTGCTCCTCACAACCTCACACAGCCCTTACCTTGCTGGTCTGGCCAGTTTGTATATATGAATATGTGATGAGAGAAAAACAGTATTATTATGAATGTGTGTTATGAAAATATATGCCTGAGGATGTGACACATTCTATGGGTTGTGTACACAACTGTGTGGATGCATGTTTGTATGTGTAGTCTTCATGATCATGTGACTACATATGTGTTAGTGAGTGTACCCATGTGTGCCCAAGTATCTAGAAGCAAGCATCCTTCAGTCTCAGGTGTCTGAGCAGCCTGGCCGTGGGAATGGCCACAGGGAGGAAAGGTGACAGGAGGAGGCTTGGGGGAGGTCTGGATGGAGGCCAAGGGGTTGGGCTCGGTGTGCTGCGCCTGCTCACAAGAATAATAGCCCACATCAGCGTTGACTGTCAAACGGGCGATGTCGAAAGTTTCAATGACGTTGCTGTCCCATTTCTTTCGGTACTCAATGTCATGTAGGACATCGTAGAGTGTCTCTGCTGGCACATCACGGCACTCCATACGGCACTGCAGATAGACATGGGTTGTCAGTGTCACACAGGGCTCAGGGCCCTAGACAGGGTGGAGGGTAGACAGGCAGGCAAAGGAGGAAGGAGAAGAGGGAGAAAAGGATCAGGGACCTCTGAAGCCAGCATGGACTCACTTCTTACCATAAACCTTCTCCAGAAGCCTCCTGTGCCAGGAAACAGAGCCCCTGTATCCAAAGATCATCTCCCTATTTTCAGCCCAGTCTCCTCCAGGAAGTCTTCCCAGTCAGACCTTCCAGGTCCCCACCCTGAGTCTCTGTCCATGCCTTTCCAGACCCTGGTGAGCTCCTCGGGGTCAGAGGCTCACAGCTGATTCGCTGTGGAGCCTGGGATGGCTATATGTCAATGAAATGAGAGCACAAGTAAAAAAACAAACACCTAGCTGGATGACAGCTTCCCTCCCTAGTACTTATCACCCAGCCATACCACTTGTCCGCCTGTATGTGTATTTTCATTCCACAAACACCTCTAGATGTCTTACTATTTATTATTATTAGTTTATTAATTATTTATTAGTCTCGCCTGCAAAGAGCTTTCCATCTAGGGAAGAAACAGCCAAGCATACCTTGTTTTATTTAACTCTCCCAACAACTCTACCAGACAAGAAATCCAAGGAGGAATTTGAGGCTCAAAGAGGTTAGGTAATGTGCCCAAGGTCACCCAGCTAGTAAAGAAGCAATGTAGGGACTTAACCCAGCTCACATGTCTGGGAAGCAAGTAAAATCAGAACCAGGTTTCTCGAGATTAGCACTCGCAAAGAAAAATGAAACTCAGTCAATGTACTTGTTCTGTAATTTTTTCTTCCTATCAAAGAGCCCAGCCCTCAAGATCAAGTTATCCTTAACAAGTTGACAAGTGTTTTTGTGTAGTCTAAAAAGGGATCCTGGGTTGAGCATATGACTCATTAAAAGTAGAGTATTTGGGGGCTGGGGTCCTGGCTCAGTGGCAGAGCACTTGCCTAGCATGTGTGAGGCACTGGGTTCAATCCTCAGCACCACATATAAATATAAAAGTACATCAACTAAAAAAAAAGAGTAGAGTATTTGCCTAACATGTATAAGATCCTGGGTTTAATTCCCACTACAGAAAAAAGGAAAGGAAAAAAAAAAATTAAAAAGGAAAAACTGTCAATAAAAAAAAAAAAAAAAAAAAGGTCTCCCAGACCTGGCATTCAGCTGGGCATGGTGGCACATGCCTAATCCCAGTGGCTCTAGAGGCTGAGGCAGGAGGATCACAAGTCCAAAGCCAGCCTTACTAATGACGAGCTGCTTAACAACTCAGTGAGACCCTGTGTCTAAATAAAATACAAAATATGGCTGGGGATGTGGCTTAGTGGTTGAATGCCTCAGAGTTCAATCCCCATTACTCATCCCCTCCCAAAAAAGAACTGGCATTCGGAGTTGGAGAATCCACACATATTACTTTCTTTCTTTTTTTAATACATATATAATTTTATTATTATTTTACAGCAAACTTAAAATGCTAATCATTTTTTTTGTTTTGTTTTAATTAGTTACACATGATAGTACAATGACTACACACGTATTACTTCTACTCACAAGGGGATGCATGCAACCATAAGAGGTAGGCCTTGGTGCCACTAATGGTGACAGGAAGGCCACACCACACTTGTTGGGTATTCTAGGTACCAGAAACTCATCAAATCCTGCACATAACTTCAGATTACAGAAAATACAGAGGACAAAGGTACAAGCTAAGTGACACCATGAGACTATAACCAGACAAAGCCAAATACTGAGACATTCTTTAGGGCTAGTGGCCTGCTTTCTTCTGCAGGTCAATTTCATATGGACAGGTCAATGGCATAATAAAGGGACTGGGTTTAACGGACAAAGGACATAACAGCCACATGTAAAGTGTGATCCTGGATTGCATACTGATCTGGACACACCAGCTATAAAGAACATTTTGGGGACAAGTGGAGAAACACGAAGGTGGTCAGTATTAGATGCACTAAAAGTGTACAGAGGAGAGTTCTGCCAGAAAAAAAAAAAAAGCAGATTACAAAACAGAATGTACAGGGCTGGGGATGTAGTTCAGTAGCAAGACATTTGCCTAGCATCGTGAGGCCTGGGTTCAATCCCCAGCACGGGGGGAGGATAAAAGAAATGAACAGTATAATCTCTTTGTGGAAAAAAAAAGATATAGATAGATAGATAGGTAGACAGATAGATAGGTTGATTGGTTGATTCAGAGAAAAGTTCAGGAAGCCAAGTATGGTGGTACACACCTATAATCCCAGTGACTCAGGAGGCTGAGGCAGGAGGATCATAAGTTCAAGGCCAGTCTCAGCAACTTGTGAGGCTCTAAGCAACTTAGCATGACCCTGTCTCAAAATACAAATAAAATGTCTGGGGATATAGCTCAGTGGTAAAATGTCCCTGGGTTTGATCACCATGAGAAAGGAAGGAAGAAAAGAAGAAGAAGAAAAGGAATGGAGAAGGATCTCACTAAGGAAGCACAACTATTAAGGTGTTAACAGTGGTAATCTCTATATGGTTTTATCTTCTTTTTGCTTATCTGTATTTCTAATCTTATAATACTGCTTCTACAATAATGAAAAAAAGTTTTTCAGTACTGGGAATTGAACTCAGAGACACTTTACCACTGAGATACTCCCCCAGCCCTTTTTATTTTTTATTTTGAGACAAATCTCACAAGATTGCCTGGGGTAGCCTTGAACTTGTGATTCTCCTGCCTCAGCTTTCTGAGTTGCTGGGATGTGCCACCCTGCTCAGATAATAATAAAATTTTTAAAAAATAAAAAGATCCCCAGGGATAATGTGACATATACTATATTAAGTGTTTTATGCACAGTACCTCATTTTCTTCTCATAGCAATGCTCTGAGGTCTTAACCTCACTTTAGAATTAAGAAAATTAAAGCCTGGGCTGGGGGCACTTCAGTGGTACAGTGCTGCTTAGCAGCACACGTAAAGCCCTGGGTTCAATCCCCAGTACCAAAAAAAAAAAAAAAAAAAAAGGGCTGAGAGGTAAAGTGTGCCCCAGCTGAACATTAGCAAACTAAAAAAAAAAAAAAAAAAAAAAAGTCAAAGGGCAGACTCCAGCCTGCAAAGTGTGACCCTGAACAAGTCACCCTTCCTTTCTGCAATGTTTGCTTTTCTGCTGCATGAGAGGGTATGACTAGATCCAACCATTTAACTAGCAGCCCCCTTTCAGCACAGTCCTTAGCCCAAAGGAGTCAGAGATGAATATGAGGCTTGTCCTTGGGAAGCTTCCAGGTGCCCTGAAATGCTCAGTGGGGGCTCAGAAGAGATTGGCTTCTAGGGTGGGTGGGGTCTCAGGTTTCACAGAGAAGCTCAGTCTAGGAGCAAGGGGTTTGCCAAGTGGTCTTGCCAGAGAGAACAGCCAGGGCAAAAGCCCAGAGGTAGTAGGCAAGAATACAGAGGTTTGCCTAGGACTCTCCCAATTTTATCACTGAAAGTCTCGAATCCTGGGAAACTCCTTAATTCCAGCCAAACTACCATGGGTTAAATTTGTGACAAACTGTATTTAAATAATGATAGCAACAGATTATATTTCACTGAGTAAAATAAGAAACCAAAATATACACAGGTATGAATAAAGAATGTTTGATGAGGAATAGGGTATATTTACAGTTTCCAAGTACCTTCCTATTATTAATTACAAAGGGAAAATGAGTAACTTTATAATAATAGAAGACTGATAGATACTACCTCAATTAAATGATCAAAGTGAATAACATTAGTAACAGGAGAAGCTACAACCAGGTGTCACCTGATAGGATGCACTGAAAAAAATTCTGGAATCGCTAATGTGATATCTCTACCAAGGGTGCATAACATTAATCATAAGGAAACATCTGACAAACCCCAAATGGGGACAGTTTACAAAAGAATTGGCGTAGAAGTGCCATGATTATAAGAGCCAAGAAAAGACTCGAGAACTATACTAGACTGAAGGAAACGACTGAGACACAAAGGAGTGAGTGACCAAAGTGATGGAAAGGATGCAATGGTGAGAAAGGGGTTGGAGAAGACAGCAGAAGCCAGATGAGCACCACCATTAGCATCCAAACAGCCTTCTCTTGAGCAGTCACGCAAAGGTCCAGATGCTGCACTAACATTCAGCGTGTGCTCATTCCTCACCTCAAACTTTTGTTATCATTCCTGTGCTACAAAACAACACAAAGCCCAGAAAAGTAAAAAACTTGCCCAGATCACACAGCAAGAAAGCAAGAAGGCAGGATTCAAAACCAGGTTTTCCTATACCTTAACCATCAGGGAGCACTCAGTGTGACTTCTGAGGAAATCAAAGTTTTTCTAAATCCAAGTTTGGGAAGCTGGACTGATTTGCAAGACCTCAAAACATGTTATGCTGGACAGTGAATGTACGTGGGGCAGTGACAACAAAACTCTGCTTCTTTTTTTTTAATATATTTTTTAGCTATAGATGGACACAATACCTTAATTTTATTTATTGATTTTTATGTGGTGCCAAGGATCAAACCCAGTGCCTCACATGTTCTAGGCAAGTGCTCTACCACTGAGCTACAACCCCAGCCCAAAACTCTGCTTCTTAAATTAGAATCCAAACTGTAACTGCACCTTCTCTGGAACCAGGCCTGACACCCCAACCCCCAACCACACAGCTGGATGCACCCAGGAAAGGGCTGACACTGCCCATCCTCTTCCCAGAGACTACTGGATCAGGGCTATTGTGGCTCCAGAGCCCAGAGCCCTCCCCATTCTGGGACAGCAGGCAGGAAGCTAAACTTGCAGAACCACAAGAGAGAAGAAGGGCCCACTAGCGTAAACACTGCACTTTACCTTGAAGATAAAGAAGGAAACTTCATAGATTTCCCATGCTGGTGGCAGACTGTTTTGGAGGAAGGCTAGCAGCAGGAACCTGCTGGGAAGGTGAGAACACTGGCAGCAATGGCCTAGGTGAGAAACTGAGGCAGGCTGAGTGCCCAGGT